TCTGTTACTTGGCTTGCTCGAAGATGGCTCTTTGCATCGGATAATTCCATTTCGGTAGGTTTCCCCTTTTTCGGCGCAGACGAGGGTTGGATGGAGGGTCAGTTTGGCCCTTCGATGAAGAATTATGTGGGTGATACAGGTCTCGGGTTTGTAAATGATCCTCCCAGTTTTTATTTCCCGGTTTATTTATCGGGGTAGCCTCGTGATTGTTTCTGTGGCAGTAAAATTAAATAGCAAAGTAAACTCAACATCCTAACGATGTGGGGACGACCCCTCCCCCTGCGTTTTGTCTTTTGTCTCCAGTCTTCTGAAGACGACTTGTGTGACCTGCATGGCCCTAAACAAGCTAGTTCTAACTGTTTGACCGTTCAGTAAAAATCTATACAGTTTTTCCACAGTTTCCAACAGTTTCCAAACAGTTTCGGAGTTGTTAGACGAGGAAATAGTGTTTTCCTCGTGAAGGACTTCCGGTGGCCTTCTTGACTTCTAATCTTATCTAATCTTATGAGTTTTCAAACTAAATTCTACTGTCATATTTAAGCCTAAACTTAAATGTCCTGCTGCAATCCTTATTGCACTTTTCTTTGACATCTGTTTTAATTGTTAGTCACTCTGTTTCCTATGGTTCTTCTTCTCTTCCTTTTCCGCTTTCCCAACCCTCCTTCCGTCTTATCCCTCTTTCCAAGTCGCCACTTCTCCTTTCTTTCATTATGTTTTTCAGTCTCGCTAGTCCCACTCCTTCATCTCCTAGCAGTTTCTTTATATTGCATCCAGGTGAGGAAATAGTACACGTAGACGCTTCGTGACGATGAAAGTAGGTTCTGGATTTGTGAACGAATCTTTTTTTATTTTAATACCGTGATAAGCTCGAAACACTCTTCGCTTTATGTCGAAATGCAACATAATGATGCCTGGGCCGGCATCAGCACGGCGGGGTCCTGCATCGGCTTTTGTTTCAATCCGTGTCCTTTTTAGCGGCGTAGGAACGTTAGAGTTAGTGTACACTTTTAGTTCAAACCGGCAGTATTCTTTTCCCCCCCTTCTTTTCTTTTCTATAATTTTTACATTTTAAATTTAGCAGCGTAGATTAAGTGAAATAGCCGCGTACTCGAGACTCTGCAATTTGATCCTCGAACAAGGGCTATCCGATTTTTCCATCGCAAGTTATCTCGCTGTTTATCTCGTCAGAAAAGTACACGCGTGGGACAGGCTTGGAAATGTAAATGGTACCTTTCTCGCTTACCTCTATTTGTCAGTGTGTCCGGAGTGTTCGATTCTTCCGTCGCAGACTATGTCGCAATTCAACACCGTGTAATTCCATTCGGAATTTAATTAATACAGTAACGACTCCGATGGCCAAGAATTATTCTTCATCCCGAAGGAGACCTTGCAATTAATCCCATCCCGACGTCGTAGCTCTGAGCAAACGTCGCTACGCGAATATTTCCAAATCGAACGCGCGAGTGCAGAATGACACGCGTGTAATTGTCAAAATGGCGGGTGTCGTGCGACGATTAATTTATTCCCAGGCCTCCCCGTTCAGAACTGCAACGCCTCTCGAGATCCGGGGACCCCGAGACCTAGCAATTTTCAAACGTTACGGCTCAATGACAACCGAACGATGAACGGTCGTAATCACTGTCGATTTCTTCGTCCGCCTCCGATTCGCAAGGATTCTCCTTCCGTTTCGCGTATCACCGGCGAAGCAGCGAGAGAGAGGGGGCGAGAACGAGGGAGAAGGAGCGATGCCGATACGCTAATGAAACCGCACTCTCATTAAAGCATCCAAATCGACGATACTAATTGGCTAGCTTTCGGAATACCCGGCATTATACCTCAGGATGCGATATAATAATCGTTGCGGACGAATTCGGGCCGGACAGCCGGTGGTTAAAGCGTCTAGTAATTTCACGGGCGCAGCCCTAGAGCGATTAATATGATTCCAACGGAAATTAACGACCGCAAACGGAAAAAAGGGAGGCTCGTTGGAGGCTCGACTGACCACACGCTCGTCGACAAGCGGTCCTTCGAAATGAGAGGATCGCTTAAGACGCGAGCAATTTGCCTTCTTTGAAAGGAACGCGTCGGACCATGTTGTAAGACCATGTTACCGAGCAGAAATATTTGTGACTCCGTTCCACTCCACTCCGCTTCGACGCTGCTTTCGTCCGATGAATCACAGGCCTCTTACACTCTGTTGCCACTATCTTGCTCCGTTGTGATCTCTTTCTTGCGGTCAACGGGGCAGGGTCTACGAATTTCTGCCATTTTCTTCTTCCCGGATGACAGATGGTCCTTTCGTGATCTTCGCGAGGATTCACTCTGCTACGAGTCCCCATCTGCTTCCTACGTCGTCTGGTTCCTTTCGGGACGAACGGAACAGAGTCTACGAACTTATAGTATCTCGGTGTTCGGCTATGACAGATGGTTCTCCGCGACCTTCACGAAAACTGACTCTTTTACGACTTTCTTCCTGATTCTTTTGGGGTCTAGCTCATTTTTAAACGAATACGAAAGGTTGTAGGAATTTTCGTCGTCTTGGTGTTTGACTATGACAGGTTGTAGGTTCTATGATCTAGTTTTCTGGATCCAATATGAATTTTTGTCATCTTGTTGAGATTTTGCTGGGAATCCATTGGTTCCTGATAGGATTTTAAAAAGGAAAGGAATGAATCGCTGGATTTTTATAATTTCAAGACCTGATACTATTTTTGCAAATAGAATGACCAGTCTGCCTCCAATATCTTCATCCTGTCATCAGTTTCTGATTCTCACTTACGACTTTCTGCCTGGTTCTTTTAGGGTCTAGCTCATTTTCAAACGAATACGAAAGGTTGTGGGAATTTTCATCGTTTTGGAGTTTGACTATGACAGGTTGTAGGTTCTATGATCTAATTTTTCGGATCGAATACGAATTTCTGTCATTTTTGTTGAGATTTTTCTAAATATTGATTGGTTCCTAATAGGATTTTAAAAAGAAAAGGAACGAATCGCTGGATTTTTATAATTCCAAGACCCCATACTATTTTCTCAAATAGAATGACCAGTCTGCCTCCAATATCTTCAACCTGTCATCAGTTTCCGATTTTCCTCGTTTCTTTTATCGCTTTATATTTAACTTCCAGATACAAGTCTGCTTTCGACATTTACAAGCTATGCCGCGGTTAAAAATCCTTATCCTCTACCAGTGGAATTCGCCACGCTGAGATCAGACTACTTCCTCAACTTCCTCGGTATCCAATCTTCGCGAATAAACCCACCGATTAGATCATCGATCCACAATTACACTCGGTCCAACCGTGACCCCAAAATTTCCCCATCTCCGAATATCTCAATGAGTACGCCCATTCCAATATCCATATAGCTCGTGACACTCGTGGGGTACCTTAACACGCGCGTGTAGGACAGTCTTTGACAGAAAATTGCCATTTTCGATTCTCCGATTCACATTTCGCCGCAATTTTTAACGAATACTGGGATCGTACGTACGTTGGAGGAATTTATGATGGAAAAACGGTTTTCAGTGAGATTCCTTGGAACCAGTGAGGCGCTTAAGGGGTTAACGCGGCTGGCTCCTCGCAACGAAACTCTTACACGAAGAACACTCGGACAGGCCGGAACAATTGGCCGGCGAAATCGTCATGGAATCGCGCGCCTTTCACGAGCAATTAACCGTCGGCCTACGGGTTCCCAGAAATTCTCACGAATGATGCAATCCCCGCGTTAATTCCCCGATAACGAGGCACAAAACTACGGCAATTACGTGTTACGTAGCGCGTGTGGATCGGCGATGTACACGTAGCCGGACCAAGCGGTTTCACAGGCCGTGGCTGTGCCTTGCGCGCGATTCCCAGCCTCGATAGACCCCGGGCTAGCTCTCTAGTAGGCAAGAAGAACCTTTATCACGATAGAACGCCGCGTCGTCGGCGTTTTTTAAAAACCCCCGTCCGAGAAATATTTACACGGGCTGCCATTATAAAACGCCTTTCATGAGGAACAAAGTAGCTGGCGGGCAGAAGGTGCGCCCTTTGACAATAATTTGTCCAGAATAACCGGCTCCGCTCTCACTCTATCTCCCCCAATGTCCCGTCTCTTTTTTCCCCATCTAGCCCATTCTGCTTCCGCTCGATCATCCATCCAGCCGTTCGTCATAGGCGCACGGCTTTTAAAAAAGTGAAGCGCTGGACTCGGGCCAGCGCAAAAATAGAAGCAGATGTTGTTAGTTGCGTTCAGCAAGTACACGAACCGCGGCTTCGACCATGGATCCCGGAGCTTTTGCCCTCGGGAACGGGCGGCAAAGGGAGGAAGAAAGCGATCCGACGAGGCAGAGAGAGGGACCGGATGGTCTAAGACGGCGATAGAGAGAGAGAAGAGAGAGCAGAGAGAGACGAGTAGGAAGAAGAAGGTAGGACCAGAGCGTTCCCTCTTGGTCCCGTCTGGACGGCGGGCTGATCTCATTGCCCTTGAATTCTTACTAACAGGCCTCTTAGATAAAAATAATTAGCCAGATAAATGCGAGGTGTCGGTAGGTGGCGCGAGCCGGCTCGGCCGGATTTTATTCTTGAATCCATCGGGAGTTCCTCCCCTTCTACCCGGAGCAGTTTCGTCTGCTCCCGATGCCATCGACCAAATGTTTTTGCTTTGAAGTCGGAAGATGAACGGGGGAACCTCCTTCTAATTTCCACTGTCTGCATTCTTAACAGCTGCGGCCAGCACGCTCCGATACGGCTGGCGGCGATCCCAGCGTTTAATTAGCATCGTGTTTATGCGTATGCCCTTTCAAGTTTCCCGGTCACGGGACACTTTCGAAATTCTATCGATCGCGTCGCCGTTTCCGCGCAGTTTTGGCTCTTACGGAATTCTTCGAGACGATCAGTAGTAGACTACCGCTCGAGGGGACAGGTCTCTGCGTCGCGACGCGTCGCTGCGTTCACGAGCTCGCTTTGACCTCTGGCTCGCGTGTTTCGAGACTCGGCTTCCTGGCTGCCATATTGGAGATGGTGCGCACGTTTTGGGACCGTGGACGAATTTTCTCGGTAAGAAAGGAAATTATAAGATACTTTAAACTTGAAACACGGTTCAACAATATTTACTGAAACGTGGAGTCATTGAGATCAGTTTCATAGATTCTTATAGTTCATTAATACACGTTATAATTATTAGAAATTAATCCGAATTATACACATGTGATGTGGTTATTAGGAATTAACCCTTTGCGCTCGAGAGATGACCTTCTGTCATCATTTTAAGATCGATGTTAATTAATATATCAAATTTAATGTAAAGTAACAGTGTGCGAGGTATCAAAATCAAATAATTCTACAATTATATTATTATAAGATTCTTTATTTACTGCTCAGAAAAGAATCGTCAAGTTTTTAGCACAGAATCTTTGAATTTCTACTCTTTTCTAGCCAAAAAGTCGTCGAGTGCAAAGGGTTAATAATTTTTCGATTTTTCATAGAATGCTAAACGTTACAGTTATTATAAATTGGTTTATTGCAGGATGATAGACATCCGTGAATTTATCACGGAATTTAGAAAGCTACGCGTTGCAGTTAGGAGAAATTAATATTTTTCCTTCCTCCGTTTTCCACCGTGATGACTCGTAATGACGTAGAGCTTCCGATTTCTTTGGAATTTAGAAAGCAGCGCGTTATGGTTATTAAGAATTAACATCGTAATTGGAGCGATGTTTAGCCTTCGGAAAAGAGCTCGTCATTGAGACTCGGAGGACAGGGGAACGCGTCGTGCTTGGTGTCGAGTCCAACGACTTCTCCCCAACGTCTCGCACGTGTCGCGAAAATTTGCGCCGCATTCCTTTCCTCGTCGACTTCGTATCTCCGATACAAACGAAAACAGAACTTTACCCTGACATTGCGCGGCAGTTATGCAGGAAACGATAACTCGGCTCGCGAGATACGTATAAAAATTGTAAACATCGCTCACGTTGCTCGAAACTCTTCACCACGGCAAATTTAGTTAACCTCCAGCGTTGGAACTCATGCTAATAACACTCTCGATGATTATTCGAGATTTTACCAAAAACAGCTTGACTTCAAAATTCCTAAATTATTTCTCGCTCTGTGGAATGTCAGAAAAATATTGTAGGATGGCGGAAACTGATCTCGAGACACCGAAAATTGGCGAAAGAACAAGGACGCGATAGCACAAATTCAAAATTCGTAAACCGATTTAACTTAGAAGAAGAACACCAAAGTAACGAAACGAAAACACACAAAGACGCACTCTTTTACAACTCTCTTTCCAACACCCAGCTAATTCGCAATTAATTAAGTCACAATTAACCCTTTGCGCTCGAGAGGCGCCCTTCAGCCGCCATTTGATCAAATTTCGAAGCTCGTTATTCATAAATATGTCAAACTTCAGATAGTGTAACGATGTGCGAGGTATCGAAATCAAATAATTCTACGTGTTAATTATCATATAATTATCGATTTCCTATTCACTGCTCAGAAAAATATCGTCAGCTTCGTAACAGAAAATCTTTGAACTCCTATCTTTCTTTGGTTAGAAAATCTTCGAGTGCAAAGGATTAATTTCTAAGGACTCTGTTTTTGGTCGCAAGGATCCTGCTTTCATGCTCTTCTTAACCTACGCTTCATCTTCCTGCAGGGACCACGCAACTTAATTTCGCTACCCAAAATATCTTTCCATTTGCTTCTAGAAACTACTGATTGGTTTATAATTTATTTTGATTGGCAATGGTCGATTTACGATTTCTTTTGAAATTTATCCTACAATATCTTTCAATTTCCTCAACGAAAGCGTTGAAATTCCATGGAAATACCAGACTGTGCTCCTAAAATTACCCCATAGACCTACTCTCGGGCCGTGACCGAGTATCCAAGCAGCACAAATGGTATTCCCTTGACTTCCGTTAGCTAGAAAAATAAAAATTGTCGATCCGTTTTAATTAATTCGGTGGTTCCGTTATAAATCACGAAGATTAGGGATTTTCTATAACGCGAGGTGGGGAAAAAGATTTCGGAAGCTGGATTCCAATGGCGGAATACGAGGCTATGACACGAAGCAACGTTCGGTCCTGTCATCGAGTATTCAAGCAGTGCTAATGCTATTCCCTTGACCTCCGTTAGCTAGAAAAATAAAAATTGTCGATCCGTTTTAATTAATTCGGTGGTTCCGATATAAATAAGGGAATTGGGATTTTCTATAAGGCGAGGAGGGGAAAAAGATTTCGGAAGCTGGATTCCAATGGCGGAATACGAGGCTATGACACGAAGCAACGTTCGGTCCTGTCATCGAGTATTCAAGCAGTGCTAATGCTATTCCCTTGACCTCCGTTAGCTAGAAAAATAAAAATTGTCGATCCGTTTTAATTAATTCGGTGGTTCCGATATAAATAAGGGAATTGGGATTTTCTATAAGGCGAGGAGGGGAAAAAGATTTCGGAAGCTGGATTCTAATGGCGGAATACGAGGCTATGACACGGAGCAACGTTCGGTCCCGTCATCGAGTATTCAAGCAGCGCAAATGGTATTCCCTTGACTTCCGTTAGCTAGAAAAATAAAAATTGTCGATCCGTTTTAATTAATTCGGTGGTTCCGATATAAATAAGGGAATTGGGATTTTCTATAAGGCGAGGAGGGGAAAAAGATTTCGGAAGCTAGATTCCAATGGCGGAATACGAGGCTGTGACACGGAGCAGCGTTCGGTCCCGTCATCGAATATCCAAGCACCACAAATGATATTCCCGGCATTATGGAATTGCGAACGGCCGGGGTCGCGTGCGGCCGGCGATTTCAACTATTAGATCGGTCCTCAGAGAGTTTTGGTCGATTTGCAGATTACGAGTCCCCGGGATGCAAGGCTGACATGGCAGAGGGTTCGGCCGAGGAGGAACAGAGCAGTACCGCTGCGCCCGCTTCCCCGCCAGCTGATCTTCGCACTCTGAACACCCAATTGTCGCCGCCTTATCACTACCAGTCCCATCTCGTACCTCCTCTTCAGCATCTGCAGCATCCCAACATGTTGGCGACCGCCGTGCCGCCCAGGCACAGCCACAGTATGCTGTCTCATCAGGGGAAAACGGATGCCGAGTTGGACGCGCCCTGCGACGTGCCATTGAATCTGAAGAGCGAGGTAAGTCTCGTGAATCTACCTCTCTCACTCTCCTTCTCTCTCTGTCTTTCTCTGTCTTTCTATGAACTAATGTACCGTGATCGATTAAGATTCGTTCTAATCAACGCGGGAGCAGCCGCTCCGGAATCTCGCGATGCTCGTTAAACAGCGACGAATCGGGGTGCAGATTTCCGCGACGGTTCAGGTGGAATTCGTTCGATGGGCGAGTTTACAAGGGAAAGAAATTTTAGAGGAACCGCGTCGAGATCGACGGCTGATTAATCGGCGTTCTTTCTTAATGGGGATGAACTAGAGCGATGATATAGTGGCTGGAAGATTTGGAATTCGAAATTGGGGTTCAGAGTTCTCGAGGATTTATAATAATTGCCGGTTATGGGTGTATGATTGAGAAGGGAAGAAACGGAGCGTGATTTATATCACTCGGATTATTATCGTATATTACGAAGATCCAACGATTCGAGATTTAAAATCGAGAGTGCGCTGATAAGTCTTAAATCCTCGGACGCTCTGAACGCAATTATTATTCGTTCTTCGAACAGCTGTTGGAGCAAATTCCGTAAGTTCAAAGATAAGAATAGCGATAGTAGATGGATGTGTTTCTTCTTCGTGAACAGCTGTTTGCGTAGTTTCATGGAGTTTCACAATTTGGCTAATTTCGACAATGGGTTGGAAGATTCCTCCCCCTGCGAGATCCGTGGGCTCGCGCCGTCCCAGATGGTTAATAAGAAAGACCCTCAGTCGAAACGATCGTCACACTCGTTAGTAACGGTTTTGTGTGTCAATGACAACCAATTGTCTGCTTAAGTAGCTGCCGCGCCGCATCCCAACCTAAATCGGCCAATGGTCTCTCTGACCTGTATACGATTAACGTACAAAACAAAGCGTGTCGAACGACTTCCATGTGGACGGAGGGGTCAATGTACCATCTGATTCTTTCTTCAGAGATTGCACAACGCGCGATGGCGATGTTATTGCTCGACCATCCGATCTCTGCGATCGGGTCTCTTCGTTGCACGTCAGACGACTATGATCCCGGCGGAAAACGAGGAGAAAATTCTCGCGAACGATTTTCATGCGGTGAAAATTCTTGTGACCAATTTTCACGCGACGAAAACTCTTGCTACCGAAAGATTTTCACGCGAGGAAAATTCTTGTGACCGATTTTCACGCGACGAAAACTCTTGCTACCGAAAGATTTTCACGCGGAGAAAATTCTCGCGAACGATTTTCACGCGAGGAAAATTCTTGTGACCGATTTTCACGCGACGAAAACTCTTGCTACTGAAAGATTTTCACGCGGAGAAAATTCTCGCGAACGATTTTCATGCGGTGAAAATTCTTGTGACCGATTTTCATGCGACGAAAACTCTTGCTACCGAAAGATTTTCACGCGGAGAAAATTCTCACGATCGATTTTCACGCGGGGAAATTTCTTACGACCAATTTTCACGCGGGGAAATTTCTTACGACCGATTTTCACGCGGCGAAAATTCTTGTGACCAATTTTCGCGCAGAGAAAACTCTCGCGACTGATTTCCACGCGGTGAAAACTCACGCGACCGATTTTCACGAGGCAAAAACTCTTGCTACCGATTTTCACACGGTGAAAATTCGCACTCCCGAAAGATTTTCACGCTGCGAAAACACTCGTGACTAAATTTCACGCGGCGAAAATTGTCGCGATTAATTTTCACGTGACGAAAATCCTTGCAACGGATTTTCACGCGGTGAAAACTCTCACTCCCGAAAGATTTTCATGCGGCGAAAATTCTTGGGACCGATTTTCACACGCCGAAATCCCTCACGACCGATTTTCACGCGTCGAAATCCCTCACGACCGATTTTCACGCGTGGAAATCTCTCACGACGGATTTTCACGCGATGAAAACTTTGGCGACGGATTTTCACGCGGTGAAAACTCTCACTTCGAAAAGATTTTCACGCGGCGAAAATTCTTGGGACCAATTTTCACGCGTCGAAATCCCTCACGACGGATTTTCGCGCGGTGAAAACTCTGGCGACCGATTTTCACGCGGCGAAAGTTCTTGCCACCACTTTTCAGGCGACAAGAACTTTTGCGATTGACTTGCACGCGGCAAAGCTCTCACGACCAGCGTCGAAATCCCTCACGACGAATTTTCGCGCGGTGAAAACTCTGGCGACCGATTTTCACGCGGCGAAAGTTCTTACCACCACTTTTCAGGCGACAAGAACTTTTGCGATTGACTTGCACGCGGCAAAGCTCTCACGACCGATTTCCACGCGGCCCTCGTGATCTCCTCCTTTATGATCGATTGCGCAACGTAGCGATCTACTTCGCGATTCGAAATTTCCGCCGTATCATAGATCACGCGACTGGGGCCAGTCAGCGGCGACTTTCTAAGCCGCGGTATCGGTGGCGGAAGAAAAAGACAAAGGCGTTATCGGGTGGTTACACGCGAGCTTGCCGACACACTCGTCGCAAATCTAATCTCCATACACGGCATGCAGCAACGGTTCGAGCATCGAGAGAACGCCTGGCGCGGGTTATTACCAGAAAGCAGCGGAAAAGGTTGCTCCCGTTAGTTACATCGGAGCCCGTGGGAAAATCGTAGCAGATAGAATGTCAAAGTTTCTAACGGGGCTACCACGCCACGGTATGCGACTTCTCCGCGCGTATACACGACATTTGCCTAAGCGTTTGCATGAAAGACTTCCGCGTTCCATGCCACGGAGTAAAGTCTAATCACGGTTTCCAAGCCGCCCCTCCATCCAAACGGCTGCGTCGATCATTTATCAGGCCGTAATCTGTATCAGGGGATCAACGCGCGCGGTCCACGCGATCCCGATCTATCTGGCTCTCGTTAACAGCACCGCCTATTTTTATTTCTTATTTTCCTTTTTTATTTATTATCCTTTCCTTTCGCCTGCATTTCGTCGCGATCTTATTTACCGCGGCCAGTAATTGTTTATTATAATCCCTGGAAAGGGGAAAGCGGGTTAGACTAGGCTCGTTGCATGATCGCCAGCCGCCCTGGATGTTGGGCCCCGGTGTACGGGGAATAAGGCTAGTTGCGTGCAACGCGCGGAATTAGTATTTATGGGAGGTCTGTTAACGAGAGCCGTTTTGTTCGGTTCGTAAGCGGTGAATTACTTGGATGCTAGGTAGTCTGCAGTTAGGTTAGGCTCTAATTCGTATCGATCGATCGAGAAATGAATCACTTTCGAATATTTTTTCTTCGCAGTTTCTTTTTTCCAACAGGGGCGATTTTTTAATTCGTATTTTTAGATTCAGGGATTCGAGAGGTGAACTCGTAAACTCGATATTTACGTAACTGTATTATAGTTTCATGATTAGAGTACGATATGCAGGGTGAATTCTATGACGTGACTGTAATGCATTGATTAAATTTCTTTCAACGTTTATTGGAGGAAATGAATATTTTTTATTCTCATAATTCTTATTAAACTGTGTTATTTGCCATAGAAAAGATTTTTATAGGTTCATCAGTAACGGAAATAATAAAAATGGCCACGTTACGTAGTCCACGCTGTACTATCTTTGCATACTATTTAGGAATTAAATTTACGCTATAAATAATAATACTTTATTAACGTACCGGATTATTAAAGTCCTTTGGTATACAATAAAAATAGTAAAATGAAATATACAGTAATAACGTAGTAGTATAGTAGTGCAGAAAGTAATGGAATAAGAAATAATTAAAGAAAAATAGGAAAAAGCAAAAGAAAAACTTAATAAATAAATGGTTGAGGTCTAGTTGAGCCTGAAAATAGGTACCTTAAGAGAACATAACGATACACTACAGTTACTTTTCTGCACAGAATTTGACGAAACTGATTTGTTTTTAATACTACTTATAGTACGTAAATATACAAAATTTTTAATTTCTCTAATTGTTTGTAGTTTTCTGTATTTCTCGACTTGCGAATATCCCAAAAAGTCAATGTTCTCATAGTGTACATTTGTCGTTGAACATAATCTGTTGCAATAAGTTACAATTTTCTTACTTAAATACTTGAAGTATTATAGTTGTAATAAATCGCTAAAAATTTGCACAGGATACGGGAAATAATTTCGCGAAATAAGTATTCAAATTTCGCGGTGCTGGAATGCAACGTAGCCAGTACAATACACCGATGTCCAGGGACTTCTCGAAAACGATAAAACCGGAGTGCGCCCATCGACGGAAGAGATAATGCCAGTGTAATCCTAATCGTCGTGGTATTCACGCGGGTGTATTATTAAAGTTCGACAAAAGCGCCTCTTTTTCCGTGGACAGCCGGCCGATTCGTGGCATCGTGGAACGGACAATTTGTCCGTTCAACAATGCACAACAATGATGCCAATTAGCCGACAAAAGGGAATAATAGTATACTAGAAGAGGAGCGTGGCGGCAAGCCTCAGACTAGAGTCTCGAAAACAGCAGTCTCATCCGTTGGTCCACGCTGGTCCCTGTTCATCCATTACACTATTATCCCCTCGGCAAACATCCAGGATCCATCCGTGGACACTCCACGCATGGACTTAATGCCCGGCTCGGCCCGGTGTCTGAGGAAGGGAGCATGCAATTTACGCGCAAAAGAACTAGGATGTGTTTCATAGCGACGCTGCAAAAAGAAACGCCTCTCTGCTTAACAGGGTACAGCATACATAATAATGTCGCCGACGAGAGTTTCCGCCGGCGGTGGTGCGCCGGTGAAATATGAAAAGAGCCCGGCGAAAAATTGCGATCGTCCAGCCGCCGGCTGCGATCTTCTTATTTATCGGTGTTAACATGTCAAAGATGCGAGCCGTGATTTTCCTTTTACCCTGGCAAACACGCTCGCGAGGGACCTCGGGGCGTTTAATTCGTCCTTCTTTATGGCCTCTTTGCTACTCCGGAAGGTTCGATGGTTGTCGGAGTGGTTGTTTAGTGGACGATGCTACAACGGGATAGGAGAAATTGGAGAAATTACGGATTTTGCGTCGGTTGCTGCTAACACCGTTAAGAATCTTG